AGGCTTTGAAGCTGATATGATTGTGTATGGTCTTAGCCCTGCGGTGAAGATGAGATTACTGCAGCTATTAAAAGCCAGAGTCCTTGTGTGCAATGGTAGTTGCATTTCACCTAAGTGCCTAAATCAAAACGTTACATTTTTTTCAAGGTGTTCTTCCGCCCCACAGCTGAATTCAGTAAATGCGCTCCTTTTAGATAGGATCAGAAGCCACAGAAATGTGCTATTTGTCAGGTGGAGACTGATGTTTCTCAAGGTTTGCAGAGCAGAACTGATGCAAAGCTGCAACCGAGCTGAGCTGCAGTGAGCAGAGCACAGCACATGAGGCTGACAGCGGGGCCATCTCCAACGCTGGCGGCTGCCTGCTGACCCTTCTCTCTTTAGAGACAGGTAGAAAAATGTGACTTCAGGGAAAAATCCTTTCCTCTGCCCTTCCTTTCACCTCTCTCGTGCAAAATCCTTTGCCTATGGGTTGGGATGGCTGAGCTTTGCAATGTGTTTAGTATGTCTTAAGGTTATTCTTGCTCCAAGAGCTTTATCACAGGATGCCATGTCCCCACATTAGGCCTTAAAAAAAAGACATGAGAGAAAATGCTGGTTTTATGGTCTTAAACCATTTTTTCCTGAACAGTGCCCTGAGGCTGGAGGGAACCAGTCCAAATATACAGCCCATATTCACCATCCCAGCAGGTGGGCCACCTTGGTGGCCATCTCATGTATTTTTGTTCAGAGATCTGGAAAAATTCATTCATTTAGTTAGTTATTTAGAGACATAGTATATTTATATAAATCTTATGCATATATAAATATTAATAGCCAGTAAGTTTTGAGTTTATATTAATTAGCTTGTATAGTTACATATATGAGTCCACTCGCCTTGTTTTCTGGCTCCTTGGCTTTGTTTTGTCCCAGCTAAGCACAGCAGTGTCCCTGCTTCAGCTCTGCTGGGGGATGAGGTGGTGACGTCCCAGCCTGAGTCAAGGGCACTGCAAGGAGACGAGGATCACAAACGGCTTTAACCCCTCAGTTCACCAAAGTGGGGGATCTCAAGCCTGTGCATGGGCCAGCACCATGGATGTTTGCTGGGGTGTGGGTGAGTGACTGACACTGCTGTTCTCCTTGCCCAGGGGAGGTGGCTGCTGTGCAGGGCACCGGCTTTGATCTCCGGCAGCCCGTGGAGCTGGGGAAGCACTTGCAGAAGTTTCGCCTGGATGGTTTTGACCACAACTTCTGCCTGCAGCAGGCGCAGGCTCGACGCCTTGTGGCCAGGTAGGCTGGGGCCCTGGCAGGGGTCCCCCTCAACCTTGGAGCCACAGGGTGCCTGTTCAGCCAGCCCCTTGGCATCCTTCTCTGGCATCTCCCCAGGGCTCGCCACCTGCCCACTGGCAGGGCCATGGAGGTTCACACCACCCAGCCTGGCATCCAGTTTTACACCGGGAACAATCTGGATGGCTCCCTGAAGGGCAAAGGTGCCATCGCATATGCCAAGCACTCGGCTTTCTGCCTGGAAACCCAGAACTGGCCTGACGCTGTCAACAAGGTGAACCATCCCCCTACCCCTGGGAGCTGCTGGTGTTCTGCAGCAGGAAACCATACCACCACCACTACCCATGTCTTCGGGGCATCAAATATGTGAATGGAGTCCATTTGGCAAGGGGGTGCTTTGTAGACACCAGAACTGAGGCAGGCACAGGCCACAGCATCCTGTGGTGTTAGGCAGGAGTCAGCCAGCACAGCGGGGACTGGCCCCACGCAGCCCAGCTTCCCATGGGCATGGGGTCTAGAGCAGAAAACCCCACCAGGGCCTTGCCATGTCCTTCCCACAGGTCCTGAATTCAACCAGCAGGGGGACTTGCCCACTTAGCCAGCCGGCAAGTGGGGCAGTTAAACACCGCCGCTGGAAATGCCACCCTAGGAAGGGCGAGGGGTTGTGGCCATGCCCTCATGATCCTTTATGGTCCTGTGGTGTGTGCTCACAATCAGTGACGTGCTGCTGCTGCCTCTCCCCAGCCCCACTTCCCCAACATCCTGCTCCGGCCAGGCGAGGAGTACAACCACACCACGTGGCTCGTGTTCAACACTGCTTAATGAAAGGGGATGCTGACTCCTACCACTGAGAGAGGTAAGTGCATGCTTCTAGCAAGTTAGCCAGAAATCCCGCCAGGTGCCAACTTGTGCTTTCAAACTACCCCATATGGTGCATCATTCCGTTTGGGAACTTTCTTCCTTCTCTGTGGTTTTCACCCACAGCTTCTGCTGGCTTTAACTCCTGTCACCACTTCTGCCACTGTCTGGTCTGTGCAAAGCTCTCGACCTCTGTCCAGCCTCACCCTAGGCATTAGGTTTTGTTTCACAGCAAAAATGCACTGAAAACACTTTATTTAGGAACATGGCATATTGTGGCTCGAACTACAGCAGGGGATATCTGGTGGGATTGATGTGTAGCATGTGGGAAGGCTGATAAAGTTGTGGTTGTTCGTTACAACATCAGCTATTCCCAGCGAAGTGCTTTGTGGAGGTCTGTGTGGTTGGGATTATCCCAGCTGGCTGCCCTGGCTCCTCTGGTTTAACTCCTGTTTTGAACCCAGCAGGGATAGCTGCACAAAAGCATCTTCCGCACTACGCCTTGGCTGCTGAAGTGAAGTGGGTGCATCCATCTATAGCCCTGAATATAAAACTGCAGTAGAAAAACCATAATCTTAATGAAAAATTGGCACAAGCCAGGGGGGTGACAGTGCCATCCTCTTAGGGAGCTGGCAGTCCTCTCTCCAGGTTATGTGGCTGAAGTTCATACTGTGTAAGGACTGTTATCATTTTGAGAATAAAGCCCAGCTGATCCAAGCTCAGGAAATGCTACGTTGCAAACCAGAGGCAGAAGCACCACGAGCCCTGTGAGAGTGGGGTTTGCCCAGTGCACTGAAGACTCTGGGTACACGTACCCTTGCCCTTCACCCCCAGCCAGGCTGTGCAGGGTGTGCACACCCTGCCCAGAGAGGCAGGGCCTGGGGTCACAGCAGCAGCAGTCACACATGTTCAGCCCTGTCCAGGCATCTTTTCCAAGAGCTCACACACACTGTATGGAATTTGTGGTGAAATCCTACCAAACTCAAGTGAGAGCTGGAGCTGCTCCGAGGACAACGTCTGGTGCTGAGGGAGGTAGCACAGCCATCCTCGGTTTTGGTCACCACAGCTGCACAGAAGCATGGACACCAGATTTGGCTCCCTCTCTGCACACAAGTGCTGGCTGTCCTTCACAGGCAGGGCCACCCCTGCTGGCACAGCCCTGCCTCCTTGCTCAGCTTCTCACTGCTAAGTCTGGGTTTAGAGGAACCCCAGTCCCCTACAGAAACCCAGGCTTCTCCACTCTATCTTCCACAGGGTCTCTGGGTACTGAAAAACAGGTACCAGTACAGCTGTCGTATCAGTCTGCAGGTTTATTGTGGAGTAGGTTTGCCTTAAGAGTACAGAAGACAAGAAAGCTGATCAAATTCCAGAGCAGCAGTGCACATGTGCCTCTCACCAGGTGTGCTACAAACCAGGCAGGCAACGCACAACCAATGAATATTCCAGACAGAAGCCACAGGTTTGGGGCATTTCTGCTAAATCGCTGCAGGGCAACATTTGTCACCCCCTGCTCTCCCATTGCATTGACAGTGGAGATTAATGGGTAGTGTCAGAGCAGCAATCATCATACCTGGCAGATGAAACACTGATCCCCAGCACGGAGCACCATGGCAGTTAAGGCTAGGCATCAAGGCCAAGCATTGCTGCAGCGTGACAGCACGATCAGAATCTGGGCCATTTACTCAGATGCCAAAAATGCTGCATAAAGTCATCATTGGCAGGAAACCTGATTTTGAAAATCATGGGTTACTCAAGGTACAAAGTTAATCTTCTAATGTTTTTAAGATGCGCTGCTGTGGTTTACACATTGGAGGCAAACTGCCACAAGATATTTCATAAGCAGCCCAAGTAGGCCACACTTTACATTTCAGTGCTTGTTTACTGCCAAAACTGGCCTTTAGATATCCCATTACAGTAAAAAAAAAAGCCTGCTGTTTTCCCTCCGCCTACCAGTTTGTTTGTTCACAGTCTAACATTGTTTCCAGGCTTTTGCTGTGATCTGTGTCAACAGAGTACCTTATCATGCAATTCTTGACTACAGAATGAGGACAAACACAGTTTGACATACCTATACACAAATAATTCATCCTGCAGGTGTGTATTTGCTGTAAGAAATTAGCTTAATTCAACAAAATAATCTCCAAGATCTGGGCTGCTTTAAAACCATACACATTTCCGTGAAGCAGGTTAGAATTCCTGAGGTCAGCTGTGAGAGTCTTTCACTTTAAAGAGGAAAGTCTGAGTGAGCTGCAGAAAGACTCGGAACAGCTTTCTTTTGCCTCTCAAACACATTTTCCTAAGGTCCTTCAGAAAGTAGGTCAGGAGACCTTATGTCTTCCCTCAAAAAAGGAAAACATGCCTTCAGACATTTTAAGAACTTTTCTTTGTATTCATAAAGAACTAAAGAATGCAACAAGCAAAAGTAGCAATCACCAAGTTATTCAAGATTTCTATTACATCTAGAAGTTTCTACAGATGTTGTTTGTTTAAAAGATGTCAGTGTTTTGAACAAAAGCTCGTCCTTAAATTTTGGGGCATCTGGTATCACAACTAGTCAAGCACCAGAGAGTAAGCTGTGCAGAATAACAGTATCAGGGAGAAAAATGAATGCCCACTGAATATCATAAAGGGATCAAAGGTGCATATGCAAAATTTAGCCATCCGCAGACAGAGGTGGTTTTGAAATCCCATTTCAAAGAAAGCAGAAATGGATCCTGTCACCAAAGATCATTCAACAACAACTGTGCAAAGTGATGAGTTTGAGGAGACACTGGTATTAGTCATTCCCATTTTGGACATTTTTCATTCACATTACATGGCACACAGCTAAAATTACCCAAACGTAACAGAAGCAGCAGGGTTACTACAGAGAAGTTTTAGTTAAAAATACACATTTTATTTCAATGTGCCAATAAAAAAGTCCCACATTTTCATATCACAGGAAGTTAATTCATACAATAAAGAGAGACCTGTGCTAGTCTATTGGTGTGACTAACTCAGAAGACCCAGATCATGCCAAATTTTTGTTGATATACTCTTCTATCTACATTCTTACATTTACAAAGACACCACAAAATCCCTTATAATAATGTAAGCAAAATAACTTTCTTCCTAAAAGATTAACTTCATAACTTTAATCTATTCTTTCAGGACTTGCACTTCTTTGAGGGCTTCCGGATGGTGAACGACTGAAAGGAAAAGAATTCACAGTTAACATTGCAGTAGTAATTTGGGACTCAAAAAAAACAGGAAAAAGCAACAGGATACTTAGACTACTCCAGCACCTTTAAGCCCTGAAAAACCAGTCACTATTGACAAAGCTAATGGGTTGATGATTTAATGTTAGAGATAATACATTTATTTTGATGGGCTGTTTTTCACTTTGACATTTTTGCATTTCTCTACTGTTATTTTTTTAAATACAATTTAAATGTGAAGACTGGAAAGTCATCTAAAGGGTACTAATAGTGACCTTCATGGAGGGAGGATACTTTCTCGCTGTTCTGATACAGCAGCTTCTCAAAACCTGTTGCGGTGCACTCAGCATTTATGACCATTTATGCAAGTCTCTTGCGATTGTCTGTGAATTCAGACTAATACAGCCACGGTTTTTCAAATGAAGCAAACCTAAGTGTAGCAGTTCTAAAAGTATGTAAAAAAAAAAACAACCCCAGAAGAGAAACAAACAGCTTGCAGGGCAGAAAGATCACCAAAGCAATGGACACATTGTGGCAGGTCTACAGCTACTCTTACTGACTACACTCCCTCCCTGCAACTCCTGAACAAGGAAGTTGTTAAAGTGAACTATTAAAGAATCCAAACTGGGAAAAAGACATGCTGCAGATTCTGTCACTACACATATATGCTTACACACACTGATAATTACTTACGATCTTACAGGGAAAAAAATAATCTGAGTAACGGCAGTAAAAATAACAGACTCTTTTCCATTCCTGACTGCTACGCCAGGTTACTTCACACTATCTTCCCCAGTCTCGCTGTAGCTTTTAACAAGACTCAAAACTGATTCCCACATTTATTCTGTGCTCTAAGCTCACCAGTAGAAAGCCTCTGTGCAATAAAACTGTTAAGTGAACTGAAATGAACACAGGAGCAGACAGAGGCAAGACATAACTCAATGTGACCAGTATCCCAAGGAATGACTACCACATATACATTGCTGTCTATAAAACCACAATCACAACATTATTGCTGTCAAAGAGATCTCAGCAAAATACCTTTCCAGTATTTTCCTACACGCAGCAGTCAAACTCCTCAGCAGAGACCACTGCAGATACTAAAATGCCAGCTCTATGAAGACTACGTTATTAGTAGGGAGATCAACGTACCTTCTCTTTGGAGATGGTGATCGGGACTTTGACCGACTGTCAAAACAGAGTATGACCAATGCAGTTTAAAGGAACTTTTATATTAAATAATCTTATATATATATATATATAACATTTTTAAACTAAAGTAGTATCTTAGACAGCAGCGGAATTATTATGGAAATCTAGCCAGAAGCTCTTTAAAACGCCAAAGTTTTCAAATCAACTTTTACTCTGACAGGGATTCTCAATTCATTTAGCAAGGAGATTAATTTTAAACAACTCTCTTCAGTAGAGGAAACAAGAAAACAAGAGATAGTACTGAGGTGAGGCTTTGAGAAAAAACATCATCAAAAAAAAAAGCTGTTTTATCAACAGTATTAATAAAGCTGAAGCCTTATCTGATGGACAGAAAAATCCAACAGAACTGAGAACAAAGATACAAAAAAATCAGTACTATGCTGGAAACTACAAAAAGTTGGGTAAGGAACATATTCCAAATAGCTGCTGCAGAGGAAATTTTATACCCTCAGTCATATTGCAAATAGATGAGCTGGGCACCCCTGTTTGGGGGATTTTTTTCTAAAGGACCAGGCTCTGTTAATCATGCAAACTGAATTCTGGATACTACTGCAGGCTCTCTCTGCATGCTTACCTCTTAGGCGGTGAGCCAGATTTTGATCTGCCATGAGACCTAGACCTACAAGAAGAAAACACAGAGCTCAGCAGGGAAGCTGGTAGCATGCCTGCTCCCACATCCGAGACAGCAAAATTCACACTAAACGTGTAAGAACTGTCACGCTGAACAGACAGAATCTTGCCACCAGTTACGTTTAAGAAAGAAGAAAGCTTTTTAAGTGGATGCTGCACATGTTGCTCAGTACCTTGGTCTCTGGCCGATGACTGATGTTTGCTGATGCAGGTGACAGAATAGATGAACAAGCCAATCCTGACCAGTATTTTCACTAAGTTAATGAAAAGCCATGCTCTAACCTTGCAAGTTTTCTCAGGCTCAAGTGACATCTATCACTAAAGCTGAAACTGGCTGCAGCCAGCGTGCTCCTACAAAGATCTTCAGTGCACTTCTTTTTATATATAGACTTGCTCAAAGTATTTTTTAAAATCTGTCTGAACTTAACCTTTGTGAAATGACTGCCAAAAATGTCAGTATGTGAGACAGGACTGCTGCACTGTAGGAACACCAATAGTGCCTGAAAGAGTAACTGGTATTTTGGTTCCCAAAGGAAGTGTTCTACTTTCCACATCCAAGACTTTCCACAACTTCCTGATGTACACTTTGGTGCTAGCAAACCAGTAAACATCATGTAATACTTGTTCCGTCTGTGTTCCCTATGAATCAGGAGCTTGTCTCTGGGTACTGTGCACTCCTTTGATTCTTCTGTAAAGAAATCATCTTTCATTGCGTCATGTAGAAGTTTAACAGTGATTTCATTTGAGTTAAGCACCAGTATTTTACCACTTCTCTGTACTTGTACATCTGTAGTTTCTTCTACCTCAGTCACTTAACCTCTACTTACAAGATGAAAGGTGTCACACAACAGAGTCCAGCAGTTTCACTAAAAGCATCCTTTACACTGCAGGAAACCATCCTGGTACTAAAAAACCAAAATAATGGTGACAAAATCAAGATGTTTTTCTCTTTAAGAGCCTGTAGCTGCTTTCTGCTCATCACTGACAGTGAACGGTGATGAGCCATGAGTCACGTTGGAACAACTGGTATCAACAGGTAGAGAAAGTGCACTTGATCAGTGAAAGGCATTGCTTTACTGCCTCAGGAAATTTCCCTTCTCTTTTTACTAGCTTCTGGACTGTCTGTGTGTTTCTGCCCCTAACTGAGACATCTTCTGGTCTTCATCTCTCCATCCCCTAAAAACTCCTGTCATTGGTTGCTGGTCCACTCTCAGAAAAATGCCACCACCACCTTTCAGGACTGAAACTCTCATCTTCAGCTGCAGGCTTTTCCACTTACTCCCTTCAGCTAAAGCTTTCCTTTATTTTTTCTTTTTTGTTGTTTCTTCATGGTTTACTATTATTTATTTCAAAGAGCAGCCATCAAACCAGAACAGTAGGCCTGGGAATGGGCTGGGGCAAGAGCAGTACTATCTCCTTCAGAGCAGAATTTCCATTTACTTTTGGTTCTCCTATGACAGCTCACTGAGGACATCCCATCAACCTACGTCAGCCATGCAGCCTGGACAAGGCTGCACAAAGCAGAAGCTGCAGTCATTTGCTATGAAAGGATTCAACTACAACTTAAAGAGAACAAATGACATCCTGTGTTCCTTTAAAATCTGATCATCAGCCCTATAGCACATTTGTCGATACAAATAATTGTGACAGGAGTTTATCTCAAATTTAGTTCAGCTCCTGCAGACTGACACTTTGTTATTCAGCATAGATGGAAACAGCTGTAACGCTGGCGGCACTAGCAGGCCCTTCACAACTTGCCTGGATACGTGCATTACTGCTTTAACACACTACTGGTGCACACTACTGGTGAGGCATGCTCATTTCTCTGACAAGTAACGGGAAGAATCCACAAACTCAGGTGTGCTACACAAAGAAAAAAATTTCAGATTAATTCTACATTTGTTTGCTATGTCAGCTGTTAATCACACCTGATCAAAACGGTACTTGTGATGACTACCAGGATCTGGGTATCGGTGATACGTAAAACAAGAACAATCTTCTGCACTCCCTTTTTCAAATTACAGACCCCTAAGCTACTGGAGAGAAAACACAGCTTTTTCTGAAAACATTAACAGCTGTTAGAAAGCCTCAACGGACTTCTAAGCAACTTTTACTATGTATCCGCAGTCACAGAAGAGATCTTACCTGCTTCGAGGCCATGTAACAGATCTGGATCTAGATCTGGATCTTGATCTAGACCGGAAATAAAAATTAAGACAAATTAAAACAAATTCAAAGAAGGCAACTCAACCAGAAGTGGTGAAAGTTAAAGCACTACTTAGATTAAAGTCTACATGCTGAACTTAAAACCTACATGATCATTAGACATTTAGACATCAAAATTCATCATGGGATATGTAGCTGTGTAAGGTCTCAAAATTAATCGAATTACCATGCCTGTAAATTCAACTAGGATTATCGGAAACTTTTTAAGCCATGCCAAAGCCTGATTTCTAGAGGTCAACACCTTTTGAAGTCTGCTATTCAATAACTTTTTGAGTCCCTTAACTAAAACATAAAAATCAACAAAAACAAAGCACACAAACTATTAAAAATTAGTGCTAATTACCTTGATCTCTTCAAGGAACCTGATCGAGACCGGCGAGGAGACACAGACCTAGACCTACGAGGAGAAATCGACCGGGACCTACGATAGGAAGCCGACCTGGACCTGCAAAGAAGTCAATTAGAGACCTGTACAAGTGCACCTTTTTCTAAGCAAAAGGCAAAAACACAAATAAAAGATAAACTAAAGCTCACCTCCTACCGCGACTCCGACTGCGTGACCGAGAATACCTTCTTCCTCGGGACCTTGAGCGGGATCTAGACCGGGACCTGGTTTTAGGTTAGAGAATACAGGTATCAGGAAACAGCTGCAGCAATCTCTGCATGTGAAGCCCTGCTGAAGTCAAAACTCATTTCAGACAACTAAAGAACTAGCATCTGTCAGTTGGAAAAAATCTCTGGGCCTACTTGTCTTGAGCATTTTACTACCTAGAAAAATGTTAAAAGCTGAATTACATTGCAGAATTACATTAGCATAGAAAACACTGTAATGCGTATTTAAAATAAACCTTGCAAGTTTGCAGGTCGACCCTCTTTGGCCCAAGGTCTAGCAGATCTAGACGGTCTAGAAGTATCTATAGCCGATCGCTGCATCTAGGTGTTCTCTTCAATCTAACGACGATCAAACTGACAGCCCAATGAGCCAGGGTGAGTGAGGCTTGATTGACGCAAGAAGATTTTTCTAGGTGGGAATGTGGTCAATCTGGTGTTCCTCTTTCTAAACCGGAGGGGGGCCCCAATTGAAAGCCAAATTTACTGTTACGGCGATCACCGTCTCAAATTTTCTGCCCTTAAAGAATAAGGTGAAGCTACGTGTAGATGGCTCGAGGGGATCTGGCCTCTTATGCTGATCACCTCAAGGTCTAGGAGGATCTTAAGTGTCGGATTTGCAAGGCGCCTCAGCATGAAATCTTAAGGCTCGTGACATTCTGAATCAAGGCGACTGACTCAAACGAAGAAACCTGAAAGGTTTTGACCAGGTTGATTATTAAGATATTAACATTTGATAGAAATAGCAACAAATTGTAATATACACCTATACATTTATTCTAGCATTAAAATTTAAAGAAAACTGGCGTAACATTCTGTTCTTTGCTAACAAGAGCTACACAAAAATGAACTGGTGAAGCAACCCAGCTACTCCGGCCCCACGCGTACCTGCTCCTCCTTCGGCTACTATAGCGGTGACAATCATAAGCATAGTGGCCTTTTTCACCACACTCATAGCATCTGTCGTTAGGGTCAAAGGGGCGTCGTGCAGGAGGCCTGTCATAACGGGAGCGACGAGGCATCCCTGTTGACACTTCCACTCTAACTCTGGAGCCACATATCACCCTGCAACAAGTTCATGATGGTTTGAAGTTAATTTTTACTGCTTATAGCAGAACTACAAAAAGAAGACCCAGAGAGAAAACACTGATTCTTCCTCTGGTCTTAACACCTGTTGCGGCTCATGCAAACATCTGAACTGCACACATACTTTCCATCAAGTCCGCGAACAGCATCTTCAGCATCCCTCGGGTCTTCAAACTCCACGAAGGCAAACCCCGGCGGGTTCCTCGCGATCCACACGGTTCTCAGGGGCCCGTAGTAGCTGAAGGCTCTCTCCAGCTCGCCTTTGCCCGCGCCCGTGCCCAGGTTCCCCACGTACACCTTGGTCGAAGCCGCTGTCAGTGCCACAGCAAGAGCAAGAGCGGGCTGAGGCGGGGCGCCATCCCGCCCCCTTCGGGGGCCGCCATCTTATTTGAGCGGCCCGTTCCCGCCTTCACCATGAGTCGCGGCACGCGCGAGCGCATTCCCTCCCCCACGGCC